CGCTTAGTGGCGACACAGCCGCTAGTGGGCGCTTAGTCGCCTCCCAGCATAGAGAGCAAATGATCAAGCTCCCTAGGCTATTTTCAATCTTTCATCCGTTTTCTTGTACCATTCGATTCTATTTTCCCCCTTTCTTCTCTTTTTTCAGTCTTGGAAAATTCCGATAAATTCTACCGATCTGCCAGACATGCGGGAAGAAAGAGAACTCGAAGAACTTTGAGAAGTTCCGCTACGACTGCCCGAGTGGCTGTAGGCTGATCCAGTGCGGCGAGGATGCTCGGAAAAATTGTGATTTTCAAGCACATTTATACTTATAAGGAAGGTGTATTTGCTTTGTGGCCGGAAACTTTGTCAAATTTTGCCAGAACGCTCTTTGATTACCAGAAGAAAATCCTGAAAGGTTTAATCTGTAAAAATTTGTAGTTTTCGAGGGCTTCAAGTCTCAAAATAGCCTTTTTCGAAGCGTCAGAGTGGTCCCTATAGGGTTAAGCGTAAAAACAGCCCTTGTATAGAACAAAAAAGTGCCCCCTAGGGTTGAAAATTTTGATGGTACCCATAGGGGTTTCGGGTCTGACTCCTAGATCTCTCAAGCTTAAGTGTTCCCTATAAGGGAGTTCTAATTTTTGGTTCAGACTTGAAAATTGAAAAGTTCATGCTCTGTTGATATTTTTCTCGAAAAACACTTGTTTATTGGGTTTGTCGTATGGAGATGCTTCTTCGCAAAGGTTCATAACAATAAACGATAAGCATGCTTCTCTGAAACCCCTATAGGGGCCTCTTTTGCAAGCTTTGATGCCCCCCCAGAGGGGGAAGTAGAGTGACCTTAATGAGAGGAACTTTTAAGGATCCCAAACGTCGCCCTGTAGGGGTCCCTCTAGCGTTCCTAAGAATTTTAACGGATTCTGGTGGTTTGCGTTGACTTTGAGGTGACATTTCTAAGAAACTAGGAAATTGTGCAGGTTGAGACTTTCAGAATCGTTTCCTAGTAAATCAAGGATTGTTCTGACCAGTTTTCAGGCAAACCCCGGCCCCAAAGTAAAAGAACCTCCTTCTCAGGAACTCCTTTCCAAAACTCACAACGCCTTTCGGAACGGCTCGAGTCGTAGAAACGACTTCAAAAGCGCAACGGGATTTTCGGATGTCTCCCGTCATTGGAGACCTCATCACCCAAACCTCGTACCCAAAATTCGAAATTTATCATTTTTTGGAAGCTCCCAGGAACCTTCTATCTTCCCGCAGAGCCCCTTTGATTTTCTCCATGGTATCTATGAATCCGACGGCTTCAGATTTCAAGATACCTTCATATTCGAGAGCAGGGACCGCCTCTACTTGAAGGAGAAGCTGGAAAATTTTTGGAGCTTTTGAAGAACAAAAAAGTAGTTTGATGAACTGAAATAAATCGATTTTGATCAGAAAAACCATCTGAAACCTCATCAAAATCAAGAATTTTCCAACAAAACGCTTCGTCTGAGATTTTTCTGCGAGAAAGTGAGGATTAAATGAAAATTTTTCCCAAAATTAAGTCTAACTCCAATTCTATATACTGGGAAGAGCTCAAGTGGGCCCCTAAGATGATATGTACTGAAAAAATTCCTAAAATTGCATTACCTATCGATTGATATACAACTTGCCTAGAGAAAACTTGTCAATTCTTAGATACGCAGGTGACCACCTTCCTACCGTAACCCGGTTACGGTTGGAGGAAATGGCTCAAAAAATCGTGTCCGCAATCCTGACGCCATATGATAACACTGGTTAAAGTTTCATTGAAATCAAAAAAATTTTTTTTTCTGTACCCGCTGTTTTTGAGAATATTTCGAAAATTACAGAGACAGCGTGTTAATTTCCGGCTTCTAAACGGAGCTTCTAAACGGAGAATGGCTTCTAAACGGAGTTAGAAATGCCCAGACTAGTGTCCAGTCTGACTGGTGACATTTCTCCCCCTAGAAGGATCAATAAGTTTTTCCCAGTCCAGTTGGAAGCTGTGCGCGCTCGTTTTTTGAGAAGAAGATTTTCTCTGTTTCCCCCAATTTTCTCGGTTTTTTATTGAATTTTGCGTTTTTACGAAAACAACGAACACAAAATCTAAAAAACCCATTTTTTTTCTAAAAAACCCATTTTTCCATCGCGAGAAGGGGCGGAGCTTTGCGGTCTCTACCTTAACCTTCAATTAATATTTTTTTCTAATAACAGTTGTTAAGATTGCGTTTCAGAAATGTTCTGTAGAAAAAAATACTGGAAAAAAAGTTTTACTAGAAATTTTTAATATTACAACAGAAATTAGGTTGTCGATAAATGAGTTTTTATTTTTTTCGATTGTTCAGCTTTGACCTGTAGTTTAGAACGACTATTTTTTTCTACTCTAATGCCATATATTGTTTTTAAGCTTGTTGTCCGTTTTTCAAATTTTGTGTGAGAAATTTCTTTAGAAAAAAAAATCTGTAAGGAGTTCTTCCTGCCGTTCAAAAACCGCATTGGAAGTTGTGACTTATCTTATTTATGTTTAGTCCAAGTAAGAGGGCGTAAAGGCTAGAATGCAATGAGGCTTTCACAAATTACCTTTACGATGGAAAGAAATATTCGCCGGGAAGATATCATCTTACAACGAAAAATGATGTCATCAAAAATAAACTTTTCAGAATGAGAAAAAAAAACAGGACGTGTAAGTCAAACGTAAGATTTGGAAGGTCATCAGTCATAACAAAACATCGACGCGATGAGAGCACGGATCAAAACTTCCTCTCCTCCAGTCGGTTTGTTCTTTCTTGAGATCCTTGCTTATGACACGGAATAGGGATCCGTATGTTTGGTTAAATTCCAGAAAGTCCAGAATTTTTCCGAAAACAAGCACAAAATTTAGAAAGCTTTCGAAAAGTAACCCTGAAATGAGAAGTGGTCCTAAAACCTGAGCACCGCTGGAAATTATTCAGTGGAAAATGATAATTCAAATCAACTAATATTATTATTTTTTAAGGATACTAATCTAACGTTTTTCAAGTTTTTCTTTCCAATTTTCAAAACAGAACTTGTTTCAGAAGCGGCTATCTTTTTGTTGTTCGCTATTTTCCTGACCAGCCAAACAACCGCTCAAGAATGTTTTTTCTTTTTTGCTTTTTTCCTCTAGTATCGTTCTTTCAGCGTGCTGCGTTACGCCTATTTTTGGCTTTGGGAAGGATAGTTTTGATGGCGGGTGCACGAAGTGCATAAAAGGAGAATTCATCGTCAAACAACAGACTTATGTACCAGGCACCGCTCTAGGGGCATCAGCAACTTTGCTTTCTGCCTCTCGCATAGTTTTGGAAGACAATGTGGGAATTGCGAGTTTCGAAAAGTTGCATACTTTATATTTCAACGCCACCGACTTCAAATCCTTTCCAGGTTTTTACTATTTGGTATCATCGATGTAGTTTTTTTTTCAATTTAAAATTGAGTTCACGAGCGTGTGATTCTGAAAAGTATATCTCAGTAATGTATATGGTGTTTACGCGCTTATAAAGACGAGATATAGAAGATCTCATACTGCCTATTAATATGCTTTTTGTTCATTTCTCTCAAATTCCCAACGTCATTCTTGAAGCATGAAAGACATTTTCAGAGCCGTTAATCCGTGTCCGAAGATCCGAAGTTGCTGACAATGCGTTCAGTCAGCTAAAAAACATAACCATCTTCCCAATGGATCCTTATTGTCAGAAGGGGACATTTCTGGATATAGACAACATGAAACAGAAACCTTGGGATCATTTGAGAAAGTTGGAAAAGGTTAAACTTGAATTATAAGCTTGTAGCGAAACGAGCTACAATGTTTATTCGATTCAAAACCCAAACTTTTTCAGGATTTGCTGGCATCGTGCCCTAAACCAACCACGCAGGCCCCAACTCCGGCTCCAGCTCCAAATGTGCCACCGAGTTCCGCACCAAGTTCGCCACAAAGCTCCGGACCACTTTCGAAGCCGATTTCGACGCAAAGTTCGTCTTGCCCACCAGTGCCTGAGTGTCCATCAATTCCATCGGCTGAAAAAGCTTCTGGTTAGTCTTAAAAAATCGAAAAATGCGAAAAAGCAGAAAATCGCTTTAAAAATTTTTATATTTGAGACTATTAACGAGAGATCCTTCAAATTCAATTTTCATCTGACTCATAAAGTCGTTCGAGACTTATCGAGCGTTTAAACACAGACGAATCAAGAAGGTGCCATAATGTGTCCACAATGGTACCTCTCAAAATGGATCGTAAAGACCCGATAATGTGTCCATCGTGAGACCTCCGGCATACCTTTTAGCAATATCTGAGCCATCTTGGAGGTACTTCAGAGTCTCTCTCTAGCCCCTCTCATTTTGCTCAAAATCCTGAGAGTTGTACTCGAGGTACCATCGTGAGACTTCAGAGCCTGCGAGATACCTCTGAGGGTCTCGCGCTACCCTTTCTTGCCTATGAATAGTGGAGAAGACGCACCGACCTTTTACTATTAGATAGGTTAGAAAATGAATACATAATTAAATTGCTTTTTAATTAAGTCTTAAGCCTTTTTCGAAATGGTTATCGAGAACGTGTTATTGTGTACCGTTTGATGTATAGTTTGTACAAGTTTACCTCTATCAAAAAAAAATGAAATATTGGTTTTATGGCAACTGAACAGCTGAAGTTTTTTGTGTTCTTTTTAAAAATGGGTAATGGAGATTCTTCATTCAGATAGTCAGTGTTAGATTCTGTTTGAGTACTTTTCTGGGTTTTCTCCATGTTTCCACCAATTTCCTCTGGTTTTGGTTCACTATTGCGCTTTTACGAAAAAACCAATTTAAAAAAAAAAAACAGTGTATAGTCAATGTTTCCCGACTTGAAAGGCGTGGGAGGCGTGGCAGGGGGCGGGACGCGTAGCGTGTGCGTACGCGGTTCTTGGCACGTGTTCAATTCAATCGCTAGCGAGCATTCAGAGAGCTTATTTATTGCTCTTTTCACTTTTTTTTAAATTATTTATTGATTATGTTCATGTGTGCATCAAAAAATAGAAGAAAATATAGAAAAAGAGCGGTGGCCGAGCTTTTTAAATAGTCGGCGGCGAATGACTTGAACTGGCGCCAAGAACCGCGTACGCACACGCTACGCGTCCCGCCCCTTGTCCCGCCTCCCTCGCCTTTCAATTCAGGAAACATTGACTATATCTCACCATCGCTAAAAGGGGCTTTGCGGTCCCGTAGTACCTACTTCTGATGGGTCTTATTGCAGAAGGAATGCCGATCATGGCGATCGCGATCACTTCACTGTGTTGGATGGTTATAACTGGCCTCCTACTGGCTTTGATGTTCTTTTTCCTGAGAAGAAAGGCGCCGCCGTCGACTGGATTCGAGAAGGAGTTCGAAGAATACGCCCAATGTGGTCAGTTTGAGCTGATTTCTACTCCAACTTTGAATTCTCACTTACAGTCGCTCTGATGGTATGTTACGTTCACACGACCTACTACAGCCTGCTGCTGCAGCATAAATGCTTTTGTATGTAACTGAGTTTTGGACGTTTTGTGTAATCTTGATCGATTAAGTGGACAATATTATCAACTGTTTGACGGCATATGAGCAACGGACGGCCTGCTTTCTCAAAGAAACAGGAGCAGGAATACGTACTTGTGCACAGCGTCAGTTTCTCATTCTCAAGCAGGGTTGTGCGAGATGAGACTTTTTGAGTTCGAGACGAGAGAATTTATTCGAAAAAATTTCGGGACGAGATGATGTATTGTCTCGATCTTTCGAGACAAGACGAAACATTTTCTAAGACCCGTCTCGAAAATATGCCATGGAATATTTTGACACATTCCTTCCGAACGGCGTCACGTGTTCAAGGACAAAAACTTTAAAAAATCATATCTCCAAAACTAAAAGTTTGCGCAGATAGATACACCGAGACGCACTATCGCATACTCGAAATTGTTTTTTTTCAATTTTAGCATTTGCAATTTTTTATACCTTGAAAACCGAGCTTCAGAAAAAAAAAATCATGGAGAGAAAGTAGAAATTAAAAAAACCTCGTATGGCGAAATGTTTGTTTAAATTCGAAAAATCATCAAAAAACTAGAAAAAAATTATATAATTTAGATGATTCATATAACAAAATCTTCAAACAGCATCAGCAAATTCAATTTGGCTCTAATTTACACAAAACCGGTTTCAAACTACGTCAAAAGAACTGGATAATAAATTTGGTTATAGAAAAAACGTCAAACGAAGTAATAATGAAGTAAAAAACCAAAAATATGCTTTTTGTCAATTAACTCTTTCCGTAAATCTTGAGAGATCTTTAGAGGGTGGCTCTTGTAATTCAGAAACAGGTCCTGGACAGATCAAAACTACTGTAGTAGTACGTTTTACGGTGCCCATACCTGTTTTTTTTTTCTGCATTTTCTTTCACTGACGAGAACTCCGTGCATTTTAACCGGTTTTTTTTCGTTTGCAGCTGTTTCTTCTAAGGAGTATTGTAGAACATAACCGATTGTATGTTTCCCTCACCTTGTTCCCTTAAACGGTTAAGAGAAACTGCGTAAAAAGCAATGAAATGCCAAAAATGCAACTAAATATACGAAGTTTTTTGGTCAGCAAAGAGATGTGGCATTATGGTCCCTAGTTTTATCATCTGTGCAAAATTCAAGTCTCAGAAAAGAAAAAAAAATTTTTCAGTTGACAAGATGGATGACATCTTCGCTGAAGCGAATAGGAGGGATACAATTCTGGGACAAGGAGGAACTTTAGAAAAAAACAAAAAAATCATGGAAAAACGTGGCCTACAGGAAACTTCATTTTCAATCATGTCAGTAACTCGCACGACGATAAGGATATATATCTTTTGGTCGCGAGATTCATCGAGTCGAAAAAAGGAAGAAAATGCACCGAAACTGTCGAAATCCTTGCTCCAAACCTAGAAGGATCAACAAAAGAGGTTTCCAAGAAGGAAAAAGATAAGGCACGGAAAAAAGGTGAGAAGGAGGTCAAAGGAAACACTAAGAAAGAAAATGTGGACGAAGAAAAAGAAGAAAAGCGCCAAAGTGCGGGATTGAGTCTGGATCTGAGCGTAAAGACGCAGGAGAACAACATAAAGAGGAAGAATAAGATTCCGGAACATGTCAAACATTTGGATAACACGGTAGCCAAGTGGATGAACACCAAGCCCAATACTAAAGAAGAGAAGAAAAATTGCCGATGCTTGTCAGTCTATATCTTTTCGACTAGCCTCCATTTAAAAATTAATTGAATTTTTGGGCGCGTTTGTGCGAAAAACAGTCCCTTCTTCTCTATAATCGCTTTTTTTCGGTCAAAAAAACCTTTTTTTCCAGCCTGCGCGAGAACGTTAGTGGGAAAAAGCTTCTATCCAAAAGGAAACTCTTCATTGAAAAATACTTCTTTGAAATCTACTTTTTCCAAGTCAACATGGGCTTCTCGCGTTTATTTTTTTACTCAATACTGTATCTATTTCGCTTTTTTTATTAAGGAGAAAAAAACGTAAAAACAAGGTTTCTTTTTTTCCGGATGCAAAAAAATGCGTCAAAATAATGCTGTGCAAGTGACGTTTTTCTGCACAAACGCGCTCTTTCGAGTTTATCGAAAACTACTCGGAGATTGCTAACTCGAGTCTGCCGCGGATAGGACGTGCCAGGAGAATTCTAGGGATCACTTAAGAGAGCTAACGCTACTAAAGTGGTTATTAGAGAAATTCTCCGACACGTTCGATTTGCGCTCGGTTTGAGTTGAACAGGTCCGAATGTGTCATCACGGCTCCTAATACTTTCTCTGGTGAACTGCTTGTCTACTTTGCAATTTTCAGGGCTCTCGTTGGGCGTGATCGACCGGCTGCTGACTGAAATTAATGAAACCGGCAGAAAATTCGCCATGAGTACGTTATAGGCGTTGTTTAAGAAAAATGTGTTTTAGTATTTAGTATAATCATATGTTTTAGTAATAAGTTTTAGTAGTAAGAAAAAAAGCGTATTTATTTCACTCCCTAAAGATTACTTACTCGTTAAAATAAATCAGAAATTTCGAGTTACAGATTATAACCAAATCACGTTCCAAGTGTGCAGGATAGTCATGAACGAAGTTAAAGAGCGGACCTTGATCAACAACGAACAGGCCTACGATCCGGAGAACCCGAGAGGAAAGATCAAGAATATGCATGGTAATGTCCTTTTCCATTAGGTTTCTATCTCAATTTGTTTTGCTGAAAATCTGCCTTTTACTTTGTTAAAATGGCTATTTATATTTTTTCTGAAGACCCCGATTTCTAGAGTTTATCCATGTCCTCGAGCACCTGTACACGGATGAGGATCCGCAGGCAGAGAGGCTGAAGATGGACCTGACAATATACGAATGGAGCCGCTTTTTGGATTTTCATTACATGGGCTTCGACTACAATGAACACAAAGGATGTGAGTTTCAAGAGTAAAATTCGAGCTTCCCGGAAGTTCGGCGAAATATAGTATTTTTCCGCTCGACACAAATCGATTTTTCAAAAATAGGATGAAATAACACCACACTACCTCACTGACAACATACAAGCTGAATATTAATGAGAAGTTTCGGAGTGCGGAAAAAAACAGAGACTTATTGTTGGCAAACTGGAAAAAAAGTTCACGAAAAGCAAATAAAACAAGAGATGGAAGTTCCTATCTCACTAAAAACCTTCCAGCCCTTGTTTACGTGAGGCCGTCGCCGATGCATGGGGAGCCTTTCAGTCAAGCTATGCTCCGTTTGGAAAGTAAGTGTGAAGGAGAGAAATGATTTTATTTTAAGAGTTAGGCGAGTGATTGCTATTGTTGTATAGTGTGGTAGAACGATCGATATAGTCTGTTCAGATTTTGAATGTCAAGCAGCTAACTCCGCCCCAGCTGAGAGGGTACCTTTTCGCGTCGATGTTTTATCGCGCCGGACTAATTTTGATCTTTTTTGATCTGAAAGATAGAAAAAGAGGTCAAAAAAGCAGCCTTATTAAAGGGCCACTGGCATATGTAGATAAAACATTGACGCGAAAGATATTTTTGCCATGGGGGTGGAGTTAGCTGCTTGACACTCAAAATCTGAACAGACTATGTTTTCTGTGTACCACGACTTGAAATTTCACCGAACGAAATTCCGTTCTTCCGCTGCGTCGCGAAGCGTCTTTGCGAGCCTCGGTTTCGCTTTGAATTGGTTCTCATTTGTTATAGATGGACTGTTCCACTAGGAACACGTGTTGGTCGAGTTCTTAAATAAAATGAAAAATTGAATGCGCGCAAAGGCACGCAGCGGAACAGCTCTACTGAAATCGTGCAAAGTGCAGTGCCTATGCCGGCATTCTGCAAAAAAAGTTGCATGCATCCTGAATATCAGAGCTTTGCATTTTGCCTAGAAGTTCTTCGCATTTTGCATTTCTTTTTGCTCACTTTTGTATAGACGAATAAAAGTGCAAAATGTGAGGTACTTCTGTGCAAAATGCATAGCACTGATTTGCAAGATGCATGAAGCTTTTTTGGAGTGTGCTGGCATAGGCACTGCCTATTGCAATAGTTCTGTAGAGTAGCGGAATGTCGTTCGGTGAAATTCCAAGTCGTGGTACACATACTATAACAATTCTTTTTAGTATATATATATATCTTTTTAGTGTTTTATTGTGATATATATATATATATATATATATATATCTTTTTAGTGTATATATAGCACAAAAAAATTTGAAATATCAAAAATTTCACTTGGCAGTCATTTTTTTCATAAATTAGTTCGAAAGTGCTCGGAACAACTTTAAAACGTGAGCAGGGGGTAGTATCATAAAAAAATATAAAAAAATATGTTTCAAAAACCGTATCTCAGTGGAAAAAAAGCGAAAAAGGAATCAGTACCCCCGCGCGTGCGCTACCAGCTCTACAGAACTTTTTGCAATAGGCAGTGCCTATGTCAGCACACTCCAAAAAAGCTTCATGCATTCTACAAAACAGTGCTTTGCTTTTTGCACAGAAGTGCCTCGCATTTTGCACTTTTTTTCGTCCATACAAAAGTGAGCCCAAAAAGAAATGCAAAATACGAAGAACTTCTAGGCAAAATGCAAAGCTCTGATTTTCAGGATGCATGCAACTTCTTTTGCAGAATGCCGGCATAGGCACTGCACTTTGCACGATTTCAGTAGAGAGTGCCTGAGATGTTATTCTAACTTTTTCATTATTTCGTTAATGGCGTGTTCATCGCAAAAAAACGGAACATGCTTCAAAAACGAAGAACAGTACTGATTTTTTTGTTTTGGAGCAATTTTTCGTTTTGTCCGATGAACACGCCATAAGAAATAGCTTTAGAAATTCCCTCGAAGAAATAGTTTTTTTCCTTTTAGAAGTTTAAAATTGTTGAAGGTCAAGTATGATAATAGAATTTGTTTTTTTTTCCGTTTTTATACTTCGTTGCTGAAGTTCTGTTTTCCAGGATACGAAAAGGACTATGAAAAGCTCAAAGCTCAAGTCGAAGAATATTGCAAAAAGAAAAAACTAAAGCTGGTGACCAAGAAAACTCCTCCCAAGCAACTGGAGATAAGAGAAAAATATGACTTCGGAAAATATACTTTTGATGTTATTACCGAGGCGGCAGGAATATTCGAAATGAAGGTATAATTCTCTCAAAAGTCAAAAGAATAATTTAAAAAAAAACATTTTAGGCTGAAGATGCTGCTAAAGCCGTGAAAGCAAGTGAGGACGCCAAGGCCAACAAAAATACTGGTGAGCTTTGAGAAATTTAGCAAAAAGACTGACTTTGCCTACATCTTTTTCTTTATTCAACAATAAGTTATCAAGCATTTCGGAGAAAATATTAGTAGTGTAGGCATTTCGAAAACTTGTTGATTTTTTTGAGTCGAAAAGAACTCGAAAATCATAAAAATTTAAAATTTTCAGGATGTGCCGGCTCCGAAAAGCAAAAGCTGCCCGAAGCGTCATGTCAAAGAACAGTGCAGCTCCGAAAAGCGTTGCTCCCAAAAGCGCGGCTCCAAAAAGTTCGTCGACTGAGCCAACTCCTACTTTCCCCAAATAGAGACCAATGTTCTCCTCTTTTTTTTCCTAGAGCTTTCCCATTAAAGCAGTTTTGCTTTGATTTGTTCACATCTGATTTTGATGAAGATATCATAAAGTTAAGTGGCGAGACTCCAATTTTAAACTCCTTCTTGATTTACACGAAGCATATGAAAAAGTTGCTTCGGATTTGGCAATGTCCTAAGCAACGACTGAGTCAGCAGATCCTACAGAACAAAAGCTTCTAAAATTGGTAGCGCTAGAAAAAGTTCTCGAGGTCTTCATGATTTGGCACTTCCTGGACAGTCAAGACACGGCTGTGTTCTCAAATAATTTCGGCAATTTAAAAAATTGGCGTATTATTCGTTATGTGACTTCTAGGCGCAAATTGGAGATTTTCTTCAGAATTTCCAAATAATTTAAAAATTTGGAGTTTGGCGCGTGAAAGTCATCGTAAAAGTCCCATATCATGATTAAAATAATGAAAATTTCAAATGAAAGAAAAAAAGGAAAAGCGCGGCCGAGATTCGCAAAGACAAGTACGCTTTCACGGCCACAAGGTCACGTTACGGAGTGTTGTTTAATTAAATTTCAAATCGTGGCAAACATATTGTGAATATTTTTCAGTGAAAAAAATTTACCAGTTTTCCTTTTAGAGAGTCTCCTACAAAAATTTTCACACTTTATCCAGAATATTCAAAAAAATACGGACCATAAAAAAAACTTGGCTCGAGAGGTTCAAGTATCAACAGGTTCGATGACCAGATCAATTTTCAATTAATAAAAATTCAAGTTTACAAACAATTCTTTATACTTTCACGGGGTTGATGTTGTACATAAAAAACACCGTTGAATAAAAAAAACAACAAAAATAACAATAAAGGCCAAAAAAAAGGGATAAAAAGCATTTGTCGAGGGATTTAGAAGCGGCTGGAAGAACCGGCGACTGTCGACGAATTTTCGTTATTCGAACTGTGGCCGCCAACGGAAAATCGCTGGAAATCGGTTTTTTATTGTTTTTTTTGTTGTATTTCAAATTATTTTGATGTCTTTTTGCTGTATTTCGAACTTTCGTTATTCGAACTGTGGCCGCCAACGAAAAACCGCTGGAAATCGAATTTTGATGTCTTTTTTGTTGTATTTTGAATTGGAAAATCTGTAAATGTTTCTCAATTTTCTCCCTGTAGATCCTTCTTTGTCTCGGATCTCGGTAGCGAAAACCATACTTCTGTGAAAAAAATCTAGATCTCCCTTAAGGGTGCTGACCCTACTAAAGGTACAGTCAATGTCTCCCGACTTGAAAGGCGAAGGAGGTGGGGCAAGAGGCGGGACGCGTAGCGTGTGAGTTCGCGGTTCTTGGCACGTGTTCAATTCAACCGCCATCTACTCTTTGAAAGGCTCGGCAACCGCTCTTTTTCAATGTTTTCTACTATTTTATGATGCACACATGAACATAATCAATAAATAATTGAAAAGAAATGAAAAAAGCGAAAAACGGGCTTTTCAAAGAGTCGATGGCGGTTGAATTGAACTCGTGCCAAGAACCGCGTACGCACACGCTACGCGTCCCGCCCCTTGCCCCGCCTCCCTCGCCTTTCAAGTCGGGAAACATTGACTATACCACCAGAAACGCTCCGGACCGCTTCCGGTGTTACTAAGGTCCGGGGTACTAAAAAGTTATCCATGGAGCGCACAAATGTCATGGCGGCAATTTTTACAGAATTTTTTTCTCCAGTCAGCCTTATAAAGAATTAATTCAACTCCCTGGACCATTCCCGATTTTTCGTCATTTTTCTTGTACCTTTCCGTTCTAGGACTATTTTCCGCCTTTTTTTTTCCAGAAAATTCCGATAAACTCAACCGATCTTCCAGACATTCGGGAAGAAAGAGAACTCGAAGAGCTTTGAGAAGTTCCGCTACGACTGCCCGAGTGGCTGTAGGCTGATCCAGTGCGGCGAGGGTGCTGGGAAAGATTTTAATTTTTAAGTGTATTTTCCTTATAAGGAAGGTCCATTTGCTTTGCGGGTTGGCAACTTCGTCAATTTTTGCCAGAACACTCTTTGGTTTACCAGAATAAAATTCTGAAAGGCTCAGTCAGCACAAATTTCTATTTTTCAAGGGCTCCAAGCCTCAAAATAGCATTTTTAAGAGCGTCAGAGTGGTCCCTATAGGGGTCAGGGGTAAAAAAAAGGTGCCGCGTAGGGTTGAAAATTTTGGTGGTACCCATAGGGGTTCAGCCTCTGATTTCTAAGCTTCTAAAGCTCAAGTGTTCCCTATAGGGGAGTTCTAATTTTCTGTTCAGACTTGAAAATTGAAAAGTTCATGCTCTGTTGATATTTTTCTCAAAGAAGGCTAGTTTATTGGGTTTGTCGTATGGAAATGGTTCTTTTCAAAGATTTATAACGATGAAAGATTTGCATCCTCCTCTAAAACCTCTATAGGGACCTCTTTTGCTAACTTTAATGCCCCCCCCGCACAAGGGAAAGTAGAGTGACCTTAGTGAGAGGAACCGTTAAGGGTCCCTAAGGTCGTCCTGTAGGGATCCCTCTAGCGTTCCTAGGAATTTTAACGGATTTTGGGTGTTTTCTTCAACTTGAAGGTATCGTTTTTCGAAAATGGGGAGATTTCAAGATTTCCAGATTGAGACTTTCAGGACCTTTTCCCGGTACATCAAGAATTTTTCTGACCAATTTTCAGGCAAATCCCAACCGCAAAGTAAAATGACCCCCTTGTCTGAAATTTCTCATTTCTGAAACTCACAACGCCTTTCGGAACGGCTCGAGTCGTAGAAACGACTTCAAAAGCGCAACGGGATTTTCGGATGTCTCCCGTCATTGGAGACCTCATCACCCAAACCTCGTACCCAAAATTCGAAATTTATCATTTTTTGGAAGCTCCCAGGAACCTTCTATCTTCCCGCAGAGCCCCTTTGATTTTCTCCATGGTATCTATGAATCCGACGGCTTCAGATTTCAAGATACCTTCATATTCAAGAGCAGGGACCGCCTCTACTAGAAGGAGGAGCTGGAAAAGGTGGATTTTTCCAGTTCATACAGCTTTTTTTCGTTTTAGGCGAATATTTCATCAATTTTCTAGCCTTTTTCGTCGTGATTTTTCAACTTTGGAACAAAAAAAGACTGGGAAAACGAAAAGGAGGTTTTGTCCTAAGAACTTCCTCATTTACAATCAAATATCACCCCTACTAAAAAAAAATACCGGGATTTCTGTCAGAAAATATGACATAAAACTTTCAAAACGGCATTTTTTCCAGTTTTCAGCTCTTACAGGTATTTTATTGGCTAGTGTGGGCTTTTTTTCTATTACTGAAAAAAATAATACGCCTGATACAAAAAAGATGATTTCACATTGAAAAATAGTTCACTGGGACAAAATAAATCGATTTTGATTAGGAAAACCATCTAAAACCTCACCAAAATCAAAAATTTTCGAACAAAATGCTTCGGGAAAACTAAAAGCTTAAGATTTTTCTGCGGTAAATGAAAATTTTTCACAAAATCAAGTCAAATTCCAATTCTATATACTGGGAAGAACTCAAGTGGGCCCCTTAAGAGGTTTCTCAAGGACCACTTGCAACGAACACTAGAGTGACCACTAAAACTACCTCAAGAGAAGCTAATATTTTGGGTTTTAGTGGCCACTATAGCAGTTTTAGTGGACTAGTAGTACCTCTTAGACTTCTCTAGAGGACAATAACTTTTAGCCCCTTAAGTGGCCACTCATTCGACTACTAAAGTGACCACTAAACTCTCAAAAACCCTAAAATGGCCACTTTCCCAGTAGTTAAATTCCGAACCTTCTGCTCCACGTCGTTCTCATCCATGTGCCGGAAAGCCGAAGTGACGATTCCATGGGCCGAAATTATCTCCCAGTGCTTGATTTGGAACGTCTAGGGCTTTTATTATGCTAATTTTCACAATTTTTTGTTACATTTGCTGATTTCTCCGCTCTGAATCGAATTCTCGTCGATGGGACCAATTTGTTGGGTTGAAAAATTACTGAAAAATTGAAATAAAAAGTTCAAAAAAATCCAAGAGCATTTTAAATATACTGCAAACGATTTTTCTAGCCTTGTAAATCTGAAAAAACAAGGAAAAAAATGCCGCAAGAATTTTTTTCTTTTTGGTGATAATTTTAACCATTTTTTTAGAACTTTTTTTAGAAAAAAATTTTTCACAATTCGAAACAGAATTTTTGGAGCAAAAACGTTTAGAACAATAAATATAAGTGTGAAGGAGTACTAGGTCTGAAAAAAATCGACTTTTTACTCTGAAAAAAATTTTTTTTATTTTGAGTTTAAAGGAGGCAGAAAAACTCCCGAATAAATGAAAAAGAAATAAAACTGAAAATTTTGCTAAAAAAATCTACCTATTTTTTAAAACTTTCTCTGAAAAATTCTCACCCTCTAAAAGTGGTTCCCGGGTATTTCGGGGCAAAAACATCGCCCTCGTTGGAAATCACGATGCCTTCCACGGCGCCCAAATTAATCTAAACCCAAAAAATCTTCATTTTTTCTGAAAACATTCCGGAACTTGAGTCTCCTCTTTCCATTTGTAATATGACTTGGTTGAATTTTCGACGTCTTCATGTCCCAAGAAAATCGAGAGGATCGAGAAACGCTGGATTTTCCGTTGAGCCACTGGCAAGCATCTCGTGGCGACCTTAATTTTTTTTTTTTCGGGGGAAAATTATGATTTCCTATCAAGAAGAAAACGTTAGATTGGCTAAAAAAACATCAAATAAACTTTTTAAAAAAAATTCAAAAACCCCTATTTTTTATAAATATTTTTTTTCAGAGTATACTTCATTCATCAGTCTCTCCAGACTTTTTTTCAAAAATATTATCACAAAAAAATAACGAAATAGCACTTTAAAGGAGAGGTTCAGACAACTCTCTAGGGTTTTTTTACTCAAGCTAAAGTTGAATGAATCAAAAAAATGCTTTTCCTTGAAAAATATGCTTTAAAAAAATCAGGAATTGATATTATCGATTGAATAAGTCGTCTCCTTCGTTGTCCGATGGTCAAATCTTGTCGTATCAGAATGAAAATTTTCTAGCGAATTTATGACCTTTTTAAAATAATCACCGCAAGAACTTTTGAACAATATAACAAAACTTTTCATTTTCCGGTCGATTTTTCTGAAAATTTCTCAGAACTCTACCATATTTTCGGACAATTTTTCATTTCCAGACAACCTATCCCTACTTTGATAGTTCTATCGGCCACCGGCGAGTCAGCTAACAAATCCAGAACTCCATTGGGATCGTCCATGTGAGGGAGCACCCCGAACTGTTCCGTGTAGAACCCGTAAGCCGGCTCCTCGCCAATGTTCGCAGGAATCAGTTGCACCGACAGAATTAGCTGAAGTTTTCGTTTTATTAGTATTTTTCAAAGTCCAAAGTTATTTCGAGGTTCAACTTTTTAAAGCTACTAACCGATATCAAGAAGAACTAAATTCAAACGAAAAGCTGAAATGAAAGCCAAGACGAGAGATCAAAGAAGTCTGAAGAGACACCAGAGAAGTGGGAGCACTCTCGCTCTCTAACCTCTCTTCAGTCTATCGCTTCTATCTTTTGGATCAATTTAGACCTTTTTTCATAATCCAAAGAAACTAACTACTGAGAAATTTCTGAGACGCCCCTAAAGTGGTCAAAATTCCATCAAACACGACACGAAGGATACTTTTGAACTTAAAATTTTTAAACCCCTATCTCCTTAAAATTTTTAAACCCCCTAAAGGGACCTCTTGTAGTTTGACCCCTAGAGGAACCCCTTTAAAGTTCCTCCGTAAACACCCGAGCTAGATTTTACAGAACCTAGAGATCAACGAAGCCTGAAGAGACGCCAGAGAACTAGGATAGCTATGTTTTGGTTTTTTTTTTTTAACTTAAAAAGTAGCTAATTCTACACAAGGTTGCTCTAATGAGAAGCCTAAGACCAAATTTTCAAACGAAAAATAAACTTCAGTATCGACGGCATGATGAAGCTGATAATCGGTGGCATATCTCAATCGGAGAACAAAATATTTCTTGTGGAAAGACGACCAGATGGCGTCAAAGTAAACGTATTCGCCTGAAAATAATCATTTTCGGAAGTTTTTTTTTTTTGCAAATAGCTCTTCAAGTTTTTTTTTTGCTTTTGAGGAGTCTTATATCATGTTCAGATTTTGAATGGAAATAACAATGACGTCATTCGAAAACTCTCTGATTGGTTTATCAAGTCATTAGGGGCGGAGCTTGAGCGACTACTTGAAATTCAACATCTGAACAGACTATTAAAAAAAATCTTCTATTTTCAGAAAATTAAAAACCTTCTTCTTACCAATCGCAAAGTACATCGGAATCTTTTGTTCGTTCTTGTCTTCATAAAAATAAGCGACTTTTCGGATCGGCAGTACGAAATCGTATTGAGGAAGGTCGTGACACATAATGAGACGGTCTTCTATCAACAAGCCGATACGATTTTTGATGTTCTGAAAGAGTCAAATAGTTATAATGTTTAAAAATCTGGAAACTAATTTTTTTTTTCAAGTCGAAAAACATCCATGTTAGTTTCGAAATTGATTTCACGCTTTGAAAGAGATGTATAAGCTTTCAAAATTCAAAATGGAACATAGGCGAGTCCGCGAGCTTTTTTGCTGCAAGATACAGAACTTAGATTAGAACGGCCTATCCATGTGCATGCGCCTTTAATATAACGGAAATTTCTGGGCTAAATTAAAGGCGCAGCCACAAATACAAGCCGCGCGTATCGAAAAAAAAAATGTAACGAAAGTTTATAGGCTAAATCAAAGGCGCATGCACAGGTTGATTTGTGCATCCGCCTTTAAATTGGACTACTTTAAAGGCGCATACAGAGAAACAGGCCGCGCCTATCAAAGGGAAAAATTGAACGGAAGTTTCTTGGGCTAAATCAATGGCACAGGAAGACAGGCCAAGAATTTCTGAGAAAAATATTTGATCGAATTTTTTAGGCTAATTTAAAGGCGCATTCACAAGATAATTTGTACATGCTCCTTTAAACTGGACTTATTTAAAGGCGCATACAGGGAGACAAGCCGCGTGTGTCGAAGAGAAGGGTTTTATAACTTGGAGGGCAAAAATTCGTGATAAACCGTGGGATAAACTTAATCTACCAGGGAATAAAAATTCAGTTTTTCCAGTATTTCAACCAGAATATCAAAGATTTATAGTCGATTCACGGCTAGCTTGGGACGCGAGCGGGGCGTGGCTTGTCTGGGTTCTCCAGCAACAAGGCACTCTCTCCTATTTTGTCGTGTCAGGACCCATTTTTCGATGGCTCAAGCAAGCCGTGATCAGCTGTAGCTTTGAAATATGAAAAACCGACTTCGCGCCATTCGCTGGGCTCCGGCAACTTGTTCTGCGGCGGTTCAACGGCGATGACGAAATCTTCATAGGAAGGACAAGGTTTCGCTGGGAGACACGCGAACGGATTTACGTCCTGGGAAGCGTTCCATGGCTGAAAATACGCATAAAAATGAATTTAGACACTAAAAAACCCTTGAAAACATAAAATATACTTGAAAAAGACACTGAATTTTTTTTTTCAATTTGTTCCGTAGAAACTGCAGTTAAGAACTGTGAAAAAATTGGAAGAAAATCAGGAAAATAGATGGAACGATTTTAAATAATTAAAAACCAACCGCCGAGCCCACAAAATGTTGTGAAGAAATGTCGAAAGAATCAAAAGAGACGACATTTGATTCTATGAAATAGCCTTTCTGAAAAAGAACACGAAAAAATGGACTATGAACTGAAAAATGCATAAAAAGTGTAGTTATGAATAAATTCACATTACTCAATAGTAGCTAAAAATTTTGAAAGTTGAAAAAAATCCGATAAAATTGGCTTTAACACACCAAAAGAAATGAGCTTCATTACTTGCAAAACTCAGAAAAAATCGAGGTTTTTCGAAAAAATTTTCTTGAATTTTTCTTAAAAATTTTTTTGAAGCTTCTAAAAGTGTTCAAAATGACTATATCAATTTTTTCGAAGTACTTGCTGATTAATTATTTATCTTGAAACTGGAGAATCATTTTTTCTCACCTCTTCATCTCCCAAAACTTTGAGCTCTATCCAAGCATAGACACACACGTCAGGCTCGACAACCGTGCCCAGTTTCGCCAAATCTTAAACTCATCATAAATATTTGAAAATTCGTCAATTTTAGACCAAAAGTCGTAGTGAAGAGTTCGCTCCAAAACGTCGCTGTGAAAGGGTTTCGGACGCCCGGAAGTCGGATCTGGAATTTTTTTCTTGGGTTTGTTATATCGGCTATAATTTTATATTTTAATTCTATGAAAAGTTAATTTTTTCTAGAGGAGATTCTAAAGGCGCATAAGGTTTAGAAGGCTTGGGAAAACCTCGAAAAAAAACCATATTAAATTTTAATCCATGTGCTTTTAAATACTAAAACAAAAATCGCATAATTTAAAAACCTTGTATCACAATATTTATATATACGCGAATAAGAATATCATTCTTCTTCTTCTTCACCTGAAATTTACCATCCTCCAACTTGCATTGGTGCAAAGTTTTGCAACGCGAAAAGTTGAAAATGACAAAATCTTGAATTTCTGAGACATCCCATTCGATAAAATCGCCAAACAATAACGGCTTGTCCAGATGCCGTCTGAAAAATATCATTTTGAGGAAAAAAATCTATTGTAAAAACACGTTTTCTTATAAGAAAATATAAATTGAATACTGTTTATTTTTTTGGCTGCAGCGACGTCGTCTTGAAATTGAAGCTGATCAAATAAAGTAGTCACGTTGAAGGCTTGTTCAGCAACTTGGACGATTTTTGTTCTGTAGTAGTTTGTAACCCTAAAAAAACATAAAGTCAAATATGGATTTGATTATTATTGACCTCCGGAGTCTGTAAGACGTAAACCAGGTTCCTACTTCCTTGAATGGGAGTTGACTCGGCCACGATCAGACCGAGACATTTTCCAATTTTCCTTCTCATCCTTAAAAAATTTTTTTGCGAAGTAGATCGAGATTAAGTGAATTTCATGAAAAATATAGAACGAAGGGCATGATGAAAATTGATTACGAGAAACTCTCAGCTAGCGGAAGCTTCGAAAAATAAAGAAATTTTTCCAATTCAAGCAAAAACAGAAAGAGCCTCAGGCACTGACGGCGCGTGTTTGTTGCCAAAAGTGCGCATGCGCGCCGACTGCTGCGCGCACGCGCGGGGTGTCTCTTTTTGTTTTTTTAGCTTTTTAACTAATTGAAAAGTTATAAATTTAATATTTTTCATGTCTGTTCATCTCTTAACATTGCTCTGCACCAGTTTATAACAATTAGATTGCCCAAAAATTTTAAATATCAAAGTTTCACTTGGCAATTCTTTTTCATAAATTTGTTCGAAAGTGCTCGGAACAACTTTAAAACGTGAGCAGGGACACAAGGTAGTATCACAAAAATATAAAAAATCTATTTCAAAACCGTATTTCAGTGAAAAAGGCGAAAAAAGAATCAGTACCCCCGCGCGTGCGCGCACCAGTGCCTGAGAGAGTTCAAGCGCGCGCAAAAAAAAAGTTTACGGTGTTCAACTCACCGCGTATTCAGAATTGTCATTTAACTTCACGACAACAAATATCAGGACAAAAATTTCTATAAATTTCTTGCCGTGTACACGCGTGTTTAAAGTAATTTCGTGATATTTAAAAATAGGCGTCGAAAAAAATGATAAAGATAAATAAGTTTCGGTGAGTTAGAGATAATTTTTGACTTTGCGGAAATTAGTTTGAGGACGTCATCAATAAGTTTGGCTTCGAACTTTTCTTCTATTCAATCCAGTTTGTATTATTTATTCCGTACGCTATTTTTGTAAATTTATCATTTGCAGGCAAAATGAAACGAATGAATCCTTATCAACGATGTATCAGCAGATAGTAAGTTTCTTATACTTTTCAAGATTACCAATTTTTTGAAGCGAGAGAATGTATGCGGCTGAAAAAGGAAGAAACCGAGAAGAAGAAACGCGAGAAAGGTTTTTATTAAGAAAAAATCTGAAGATTTAAAATAAATTCAGAAGAAAAGAAGAAACAAGAAGAAGATGAGGCCGCAAAAGCCGCAGCCGAGACTGCTGGTTCATTTCATTTTTTATAAAATAATAAACGTGAGAAGTTTAGAACAAGAAATGGAAAATGAATCGGACGAGTCTGATGAAGATATAGACGTTGAAACAGTAGAAACGAGTCAGTTTTTTTCGTTTCTTTTTTTCTATTTTTTTCAATATTTTTAGAAAAGGATGATAAGCTCACACTTGGTTACATTTTCGCACGTATGGGACCGCGAAAAACGAAAAAATCTAAGGAAGAAATTGAGGTTATTAATGTTTGAGTGTAATATGGAAAAGTAGTGTTCAGGAAGACTTGAGAGTTATAAACGAGAAGGCGAAGCAGGAAAATTTGACAAAGTTAGTGGTCAAAACAGAACACATTCCGGACAAGAAAGCGCGTTCTTTAATGGCTTTCATTTTTTCCGAGGTTTGATAATGAAAAAATAGGAAAAAAGAACAGTTTGCAGCTTCAAACACAGCGCGACGATATTCAAAAGCTTAGAAAAGAGTTGAGAGAAGCCAAGGAACCCGAAAGGAAGAAGAAAAAAAGGGCGGTGCAGACGAGGAAGACCTCCAGTACTATTTCATTGATGTTTGCGTTTCATTTTGAAATTTCAGAAAAATTTAATTTTGTTTTTTTATTGGAGCTTTTGATTGGCTCACCACTATGCTGTCTGAAAAATGTCATATTTTTTGTAAGGCTCCGTTTTTTTTTTTACTTTTTTTCCGCCGAACTTCTTCAAAAGAACTTTAAGAACTTCGTTTTTTTTCCTCTTTTTTATTCTGTTCAGAAATCCCTTCATTGAACTTATAAAAAAGGTACAGAGGAATTTTTTTCATTTTTTTCATTTTTGATGTCTTTTTCAGTCTTGCAAGCTCCATTGAACCTTCTCTCAAACTTTAAAACGGTAAAAACACGTTTCAGATTAAAAATTGATATAAATCTAACTCATTGAATCGAATAGAATTATGAAATTTCAGCCGAATCGATAAAAATAAGAAGTTTTTTTTTTGTCCTTATCCCCTCACTATCGATTCCTTATAACTCCTTTGAATAGATTAAGCTTAATATCGCCAATCTTCCCCGAAAAAAGACGAGATGGGTAGATTGGCAAGGGTGACGCGTTGCGTACGCGGCGCGGCTTTTTGGCGGGAAACTCGTGCCGTGTTCAATTTGATTCCGCGAAATGCAAAATACCCGTTAGAGAAAGGAAAAGATCACTAAATTTTGGAGAGTCAGAGATCATTTTGCATTTCACGGAATCAAATTGAACACGGCATCGAGATTCAACTCGACCCGTTTTTTTTTCATGTTTTTCTGGTTTTTTTGACAGTTTTTCAATTAATTTCAATTTTAATGGTTTTGTTTTCCTTGAAGGATGAAAAGTGAGAAAATACAAAAAACGTAAAAAAGGTTTTTAAAAAATGAATTATTTCCTTTGACTCCAAGTTGCCAGTCGAAAAGCCGCGTCGCGTACGCAACGCATATCCCTTGCCAATCTAGTCATTTTGCCTGGTTTAGTAATTTTCATTTCTCCCGACTTGAAAGGCGGGACGCTTAGCGTGCGCGTACGCGGTTCTTGGCACGAGTTCAAATCAAACTCCAGCGACTATTTTGAGCTCTTTTCATTTATTTTTAAATTCGTTTTTGAAGATCATTTTTGCATTAAAAAATAGTAGATAAAACGCAAAAAGAGCGATAAACAAGCGCTCAAAATAGTCGGTGGCGGTTGAATTGAACTCGTGCCAAGAACCGCCCCTTGCCCCGGCTCCCTCGCCTTTCAAGTGATGGTAGAAAGGAATTTTGGTTCCCCGAATATTCGGGAGCATTAATTGTGCATACACCAATATTGGATGCTCGAATCTTTGAAAATTTGAATCTTTGAAAACGATTCTTGGGGATATTCCCCTCTTTTTTGAATTTCCATCTCTTCTTTCCTTCATTTTTTTTCCTTTTTCGTTCTATTGTGAGGATGTCGTGTTTCGACCTCAAATGAAAACTGTATGATTTTTTTTCAACTAACTTTTTTATCAAATAATGCGTCTTTCTCGCATAGACGTAGTCAAATATTCGCTGCAGAACGGCTACCACATTTTCATTTACTCTGTATATATTCTCCATCAACTTCTGTTAACAAAAAAACATTGGAAAAAAATATAAAAAAATCAGAAAAAGAAGTGAATATTCCCAAGAATTTGTTTTTTTAAAGATTCGAGCATCCAAGATTGGTGTATGCACAATTAACGCTCACAAATATTCGTGGATCCAAAATTCCTTCTTACCATCTTTCAAGTCGGGAAAAATTGACTATATCTATTAAAACCCTAAAATATTCAGCGCGAGCAGTTCGAAGACACGAAATGTGTCGAAATCGCCGGACGTCGCCGAGCCGCCTCGATTTCCGTCGCCCATCAAGAAGTTTTTAAAACGGCTTCTTGGACTGACGATTATTCCATCGTAGAGCAGATTGAAATGCTCGTCAAACACTTTTTGCAGCAGGTCCTATTTTTGGGAACTGAACATTTCATTAAGAATCGATTTTCAGTACTTCCTGCCCGGCAGCGAAATCGTCGCATATCACTGTTTCGACTACGATGCTTCGAATTACATTTTAAGTGGGAATAACTCTCAAAAATCCCATGATAATCTTTAATTTTCAGCTCAAATACTCAATGCCATAACTCTGAAGGAAGAATTTTCGGGTTTGGTCGGAAATCAGAGAAATTGGGACGATTGGACCGAGGTTATCAACGCCGCCATTAAGAAAATATTGTGAGACAAGTGAAAAATGATGGAAAATTATGAATTTGTTGAATAGGATCGCCGGACGTCGTGTTATCCCACTCTGGAAGCCATTTTCGGCTGAAGAATTTGAAGAAATTAATCGGCCAGTTGGTAAGGATTTATTCAAGAGAAGTTTTTATAGTAAAAAGAAGGTGGCATTTGGTTGGAAAAAATCATGTTGGAATAAATTTTAGTTGGAAAAAATCATCAAGAAACCATTTCTAACTGCTTTTTAAGGAAGAAATTTTGACTTTTTCGCTTTTTTTTCTAAATTTTGAAGAATAAAAAACTTCATGGAATCAATATTTTCATTCCAGCAAAGAGTTTTTTGATTATCTTTTGGTATAGATCCCAAAAAAGACGGATCTCCGGAAGAAGAACCACAGGACGACTGTAAATGCAACCCGAGCACACTAAAAGAGCCGAGTCCACGTTGGTTCTAGCCACAAATCGAAAAATGATCGATTTTATTCAAGCTATGGGATGGTATACGATCCCAGTAACACCGGACAACTACGATTTTGCTCTAAATGAGCCGTGTTGGGTTTACGATGGCTATGATTGGTACTTGGGCGAGTTGGGAGAACGTGACGCCGAGAAGCGTCCAATCGTCAAGATTCACAATGTGAGTTTGGGGCGAAAAAAAGTAGAAAATTTTTTTAGAGTGTAATCGAGGGAATTTACAATTTTTTAGTTCAGAAAACTATTAAAAACTTACAAAACAGGGCGAGGAGACGTCAAAAAATTTTTCAAAAATTCAAAACTCAAGTACGCAGCCAAAGGCGATTGAACAAACTAGATATTAACGTTGAATACTCAGTGTAATTTGTGACGTCAAATGACTTATTTTTATCCGAAGCGCCCACTTACTTTTTTCTGTAAGTTCTGAAATATTGACGCCTCGCTCACCTTTCTTCCCATCAGGAAAGCCGTGAAAAATAGATTTGAAAAAAAAGGCAAAAAATTCTTAACACCTTTGCGCTCCATGGCTAACTTCTTGAGGGAGGATAGTTACTCGGACCTCTGTCTCGGAAACCGGACGGACCCGGGACATTTCTGAGCATTTCAAGTGACCACTTAAGAGTTGCGACGTCGCTAAAGGGATCACTTATGTTCAGAAACTTTTCCGTAACAGAGGTCCGATTTTTTTGGTCCTGAAAAATTATAATTGAAATCGATTCAGTATGTCGCTTGTCTTTGGGCGGATTTTCGTTTTCAAAGGACCTTTAAAAAAAATTTCAAAACGTTAAAAACCCCACTGTTGATTATCTGTAGAGCGAAAAAGCCGGAAAAATGTTGTAGCCATTTTTCCAGCCGAGCTAACTCAGGGAATCGGCGGGTGTACCCGTATTGGGCCCATATAAGCACAGCGGGAAGAACTTTTGGTTATTTTCTTAACGTAGCTGAGCTCTAGAATTTTGAAATGAACACAGCTGGGGACCTATTTCTCCTTTCACCCGGTTTTCTCCCCGTTTTAGCCCGGTTGAGACCCAAAATGCCTCAAAAAACGGGTGGACCCGTTGGGACGCCTGGCCATTTTGAGTCTGTTGTTTTTCATTCATACATGGGCTGGATCTCCCCTCAGCGTTTTACGCGCGAAAAAAAAAATTCAAAAATATACTAAGATCGGCCAAAAATTTTCTAGCCCAAGTATGTTTCCATTTTTCAGCTGGAGAAGCTCTGCTTTATATTCAAAGATGAAACGGTGGAGACTTTGCGAAAATACTCAAGTGACGCCGAGTGTAGCTACGCCGTTTGCAGGAACTTTGCCAACCATATCCACCGACTTGTGGCCGATTAAAATCGCTCCTTCTCTCTTATTTTTATTAACGCATGTTTTTTTTTGTTATTGTTTTTCCACAACTTTTGACTCACGTGTGCATAAAGTTCATAACCATGAGATAACAAAATACAATCGACCGGTGTTAATGAGATTATCTTTTCATTATGATAAGGTAAGCTTGTAGTTGAAGGCCAGGATGCTACCAGTTTAGATGTCTGAAATTATAAAATGATCCGAAATTTTTGAATTTCAAAGATAATTCATCAGATTCAGGAAAAATTGTGCACGGCTTGCAATTTCACCGAACAACATTCCGCTGTTCCGCTGCGTGCGGTCGCGAAGCGGTTTTGTCTTTGCGAATCTCGTTCGCGCTTTCAATTGCTTATCGTTGCTGGTGGATATACTATTCTAGAAAAATAGAGTACTGAAATAAAAGAGAAAATTTGAAAGCGCGACCGAGTTTCGCAAAGACAAAGAGGAACAGCGGAGTGTCGTTCGGTAAAATTCCAGTCGTGGCGAATAGAATATCTTTTCATACCCTTTTCGAGGTCGTGAAAAAGGAAAATTAACTGAAACTAACGAAAATTCAAAATTACATCATACTCCAGTAATCCAATGTCTACTTTCTAACTTTGAAAAAAAAAGAAAAATTCAAAAAATAATTTATTTTAACCACCAGAGTTATAGAAAATGATTGTAAAATACCTAGAATCCTTAAAAAATATAAAACTGATTCACGGCTGGCTCTATCCATCGAAAAAAGGGTCTTGACACGATAAAAAAAATAGAGTGTCTCCTTCGTGGAGAGCGCAGACAGGTCACGCCCCTTTTTATCCTAAGCTAGCCGTGAATCGACTACATAAGAAAGCACTACAATTTTCAATAAAGTTCTCCATTTCTTGGAATATTTTTCGTTATTTTAAGCTTATTTTGGAGTTTCCTACCCTATTTTCATGGTTTTTCGAGCCCCTCCAAAAACTGACTTCTTGTTTTTCAGGCTGTTGGGACAACAGGATCGGGAACTCTCCGAATCGTAGGCACTGCCGTCGATGCTGACGTAGGCATGGAGTTTGGGCGGATGTTCGGAGAGTTGGCGCGAAAAAGGTGTATGGGGGAGGGTTGGGATGGATCCGTCGCGGCCGTCTTTCCAGAAGACGTCGTCTTCCAGTTCGGCTGGAATTAATCGCTGAGGGGATCAATTTCAGAGTCTATGAAGCGGCATTCATAGTGATTATCGAGCAAGACTTTTTGAGTCCTATTTTTTGACCTCCCTAGGGATTCCAGAGAGGTCCCTATAGGGGTTAGAGGTGACAAAAAACCCTTATTGGGGTAAAAATGAAGTGGTCCCTATAGGGGTCAAAAAAGTGATCCCTATATGGGTAAAAATGAAGTGGTCCCTATAGGGTTCAGAGTCTGACCTCTTAGCCCCTAAAGCTCAAGTGGACCCTATAGGGGTCTCTAAATTTCATTCAAAAAACGTTTTTATTCAGTTTTTCCCATGGAAATGCTTCTTCGCTTAGAGCTTATAACAAATATCGACTAGCATGTCCCCTATAGGGGTCACTAACAGAAACCTCTAAAGTGGTCCCTAAAGGGGGCCCCTCATCCTTTGATCAATTCGGATCCAAATTTTGAAAGGAGCTCATTAAAAATGAATGAAGAATGAAAAATGAAAATAAATAAAATGAATGGAAATTCTCTAAACCCTACCCATTTTTCAGAAACTCTAACACACACAACTTACCAGAAACCGTTGTAGATTTTCAAAAAATTTATCTGAAGCTCCAAAAAAAATTCAAAACTAACGGAGATCCATCGACTGTAACCGATTGACAATCGCAAAAGAAGTGGCGATATTTCGATCCAAAATGTAATTCAGTTCGATGTCGTCATCGTCCAAGCCGAAAGGCCTCATCAGGTCTTGGCCAACCTCAAATCCAACCCTTTTAGGTACATTTTGAAGGGGATACCTTGAACCATCCCACAAAGAAGAGGAACTGAACAATCGTGAAAATCGGAACTTTGAGGTCGATTTCTCGGCCAGACTCGATATCTGGTAAAAGGGCCTGGCGGCCGAAAAGCGTGAAGAAAAAGAAGGAATAAGTCGCCAGAGCCGCTACCTAGGAAAAATATTTTAAATTTACAAGATTAGAAGAGTATCACGTCAACCAAAAGTCAAAGAAATATACTCAATTTTTCCTGACTTGAAAGCCGATGGTCGCAAATGGAATGGCTAAAAGACTCGAAGCTTAGCGATGGCCGCTTAAGAACACTTGAGTGGTCCCTAGAAGGGCAAAAAAATGAAATGGCTAAAAGACTCGAAGCGACGTTTTTTTTTTACCCTTCTAGGGACCACTCAAGTGTTCTTAAGCTGCCATCGCTTCGTCTTTAACCATTCCATTTGCGACCAAATCACTCCCTAAAGGGAGCACTTGAGCTTTATCGGCATAGCGATTAGATTCCCCTAATCCCTATAGGTACCACTCTGACCTTTCAGTGCATTTATAGACGATCCTCTTTTTCGGAAACCAAAATCCTATTTGATTTATTTCATTTGAATGGAGAGCTAGAGATCATCTTAAGATGGAGAGCGCAGACAGGCCACGCCCATTTTGTCCCTCCCTCTCTAGCTGCGTCTACAGATCAGTAGCTCATTCCAAGGCATTTTGTCACGTTTTTTTCTGACCCAAATACAGTATGCCTTCAGGTTACAGGTCTCGAAGCGAAGTGGGCAAAAAATTACGGTAACCGATGCTTTTTCCTTATTTTTAAAGAGACAAGTTCACGCGAAAATCTCTATTTTCGAGCTTTAAAAGCCTCATATAAATGGAAAAATGATATACCTGGGTATAAACCAAGGGCACACAGACCCAATCATAGGAATAGAGGCGTCGTAGGGATTGTCGGAAAATCCTCAATTCCCCGACAAATTGATTGAGTAGGGAAGCGGTTGGCTTGTTTTCCTGAGAAAAAAAAGGCATTTTGAGTTCTTGAATTGAAATTCTGAAATGGTTCAGAAAGAGCAAATAAAAAATTTGAGACTGTTATCCATGGAGCACATATGATCAAAAAAGCTCAATAGATTCTCTCGCCTATCTTGAAAACTCCAAAGTGGTCCCTATAGGGGCTCTTAGAGGGTCCCTTCTAGAGACCACTTCACCATCCCTATAGAGGGCCCTAAAGCTTGCAAGAGTGGTCCCTATAGCAGTTTCAGACTACAGTCTATTCAGATTTTTAATGTCAAGTGCAGTGACGTCATTCAAAAACACTATGTGGATCGCTCGTTTTCTGATTGGTTTATCGCGCCGAAAGGGGCGGAGCTTGCGAAGTCAAAACCTAAACAGACTATAAAAAATTATTTGCACATTTCCAGATCCAAATTTTAAACCCTACTCAAAGCGAATACGATAGTATTTTTTTCGACGACGCCACGCCCACTTTTCCTCCGTAAAGTGTCGTGTGTCGTGTGCATGCACTGCAGAAAATTGCGTTTATGTAGAAAAATTTCGATTCGTCTCAAAGTTCTCTGGCAATACGGCGGCCTGCGCCTTTAATATGCCCTGTTCTTAGAGCCGAAATATCTGCCGTTCCCATGACGTCACGTGGGAAATTTTGGCTTCGCCCGCTGTGTTTTGGTTTTGCATTTTCTTCTACTAACAAAAACGCCGTGATTTTTAAAATTATTGATTATAGAAAAAAAAAACCTCCTCTTCTTTCCGAATCAACTGTTGGACCCAATGAAGCGGCGTCAGCCAGCGAACTGATTCGCATTCATCCTAAATTTATTAAAATTAGGGCAAAGATCTGGAAATAAAGGTAACTTGGATCTTCTCCAAGACATCAAACTCTTTTTTGGATAAGAGACCCGCGTCGACGAAACTTTGAACATTGGGAAATCGGAGTCGAATTTTTGTTGATATATCGCGCCTGAAACCGACTTCTAATCAACTTTTTTCGAAAAATGGCATAAAAATATAGTTGCCGACTAGAAAGGCGAGATGGGTAGAGTGGCAAAAGAGACGCGTTGCGTACGCGACGCGGCTTTCCTTAGTATTTTCTGAGTGGTCCCTATAGGGGCAACCTTAGCGCCCATGAAGGTTCCTCAATAGAGGCCAATATATATATATATATAGTTTTCGCGTGTCTGCGTCTCTCTGTTCCCTCACCGGCGAGGTCAGAGAAAAAAGGAAACAGCACGTAAACATGAGAGAGACGTCGAGAGATAAGGAGGGCACAGAGAAGTCGCGAAAAATGGATATAACACCATCTTTTTTTGCCACGAAGCCCTTTGAAACCAACCAACACAAAGCGCAAGCGACGTTCAGATATCGCGCGATGGCGTGTCTTCTTTTTTGGCTTTTCTCGTCGTTCGCCGGTATAACCGTGCATAAAACTGACAAAATATCTTCTGGCCAGTACATGGTCTCGAATTGACGCCACCATCTGAAAATTTTCCTAATTTTTTGATAATAGGGTGCTACGACAAGAGCGAGTTTTCCATTAGCGAGGAGTACTGTATGCGGATATGCGCATTGCGTGCATACACTTTCGTTGCGTGACGTCACCGGGTCGTACATCTGCGGGCTTTTTGTTTCCGTGTTTTTCAATTTTTTTGCTTTTTGCAAACCCGGTGACGTCACGCAACAAAAAGTTTATGCACGCAATGCGCATATCCGCATACAGTACCCCTTGAAAATTGAAAACTCGCTCTTGTCGTAGCACCGATAATAGAAGGCAATTAAAAATTAAAAAAACCTCCAAAAACTATGAAACACTTTCCGAGTTTCCTGATGATTTTTTTATCCTATTTTGGGCTTGACGTAAGGAGAAAAAGGTTTAAAAATTTTATTTTACAATTTTATTTTTATCTTCTCAAGGCATTTTTTTAATAATTTTCACACGTTACATGAAACAAACCGTGTAACATACAACGAAAAAAACGAAAAAAATTCCTTATTTTTCGGTTCAATTTTATCACTTCTTAACCCCTTCATTTTTTTCACAAAGGATAGGAAAAAAAGCTGAAAAATCGTAGAAAAAGCTCTTAAATATTCTTATTCACAATTTCACTCATTACTTCAAATTTCTGTTAATTCAGAACCTAGTCAGCTTTTAAAAAAATCGTTAGCTACACAAATAATCTAAAACTCTCTAAATAAACGTTTTAAATCAAAAAGATACCTCGAAACGACATTAGAAACATAGAAACCAAGAAGAAAAGTGAGAGGGATCAGTTTCGTGAAACCGTCGCACATCCGGCAGAACGCTTCGAATTTTCGTCTGGAATTCGAATAATTTTGAAAAATTCACATTTATAGTGATCCAAATATTGATTTTTTTCAGAATAATTTTGCTAAAAAAATTTTTTTGTTGTGAAAAAAATCTGAAAAAAATGCAGCCTAACTTTTTGAAAAAAACCTCAATCAGTTAAATTATTATTCTTGAACATAAATAGTATCCAAAAATAGTCAAAAAAATACAGTTTATTCGTGAAAAAAATTTGTAAGTTTCATCAATTTTTTAACAAAAATTTCTTCGACCGCGACGCGCCCGCTCCGCGAAGCGGTCATATTTTCAAAAAAACCATTTTTTTAAAGTTTTGTTCCCCAACTTGTTTTCCACTCATTTACTACACTTTTACTCATTTTCGGGCCGCCCCGGGCTTCAAGCGGGTCCACCCGGGCACTATACTTATCATCCTTCCCA